TATAAATAAGAGAATATTCAGCAGCCCAAAATGTACATATGTATGCCTGATCTTCTATAGCAGCAACTGGCATTTAACTATTTTTAAAGCTAAAATGTTTCCTTATAAATCCTGCACTAGAAACCTGCCATACTCTGCCGATACGCAGAGTATTCTAAAATGGCGAAAAAGCCGGAAGGAAGTTGGCAGCGCCACAAGACGTTGACGTTGGCGTTGTGTCGAATGGGAAACTAGAACCAGAGCCAGAAGCAGAACCCGAAGCAGAAGCAGAACCTCTGCCTGCCTCTGCAACATCCTCTGCATACAAAACTCAATGAATGAGGAGCCAAAAACCGAAACAAAACTGAAAACCTTACAGAACCGCTCAACGGCTGTGTCGACCTTTGGGTTGCCTTTTTAGTTGTTTGCTGTTGCTGTTGCTGTTGCTGTTTTTGGTACTGGTGTTGGCCTAACTGACTGACTGACTGACTGACTGGATCTGGATCTGGATGGGGCTGACTGGGCTCTGGCTGCTTCCGCTTTTTACGTTCATTGCCTCTGCCACAATTTTAATTTTCCTAATGGATATCGATCCCGGAGTCGGAGTCGTCGCAACAACAACAGCAACTGGCTGGGCTGGTCTGGGCTGGGCTGGGCTGGCAAAAAGGATAATAGACTTCTTTATTGTGCATGCGACTCTATAAAAGTCAACTCCTGGACTTTGTTGTGCTCGTGCTCCGCGCCGCCAGACTCTGCTCTGGCACTGCGTGGGCTGTGTGTGTGTGGTGGGTGGGGGGTGGTGGTGTGTGGACTGTGAGCCAGTGGATGTTTTGGTGGTGGACACACGGACACACACACAATCGGGGCCAGGCCAGACACAGAACGTTGCATAAATACTTAAGCAACAACCTCACACAATAAATAATCTGCTACGTCATGCAAAAGGGAAACTCCAATGGAAACTCCAGCGCTGCCCTGCCTGCTCCATCCATCCTTCAAAGGCGCTTCGTGGCAGTGGCAGGTGGCAGGTGGGGGGCTGGCAGACATTGAAAATTAGATTTCCACCAGGCTTAGATAACTCATTCCCCCCCTTTATTCGTAGGAGTATCTGCCTGTAATCCAACCGCAGCTACACACTGCAAAATGTTTATTTGAATTTTACGTTTTACATCTGTGCCTGTGGATCCGCTAAAGTGCGAAAATTAAATGAGCCACAAGTCAGAGGTGGCTAGGATCCCACATTCCACATTCTGCTGTGCTCTCCGCTCTGCTCTGCTCTCTGCTCTCTGCTCTCCGCCCTGCTTTGGCTCTGTTTGTGTAGGTGTTTTTCCTGCTGCTATTTGCATGCATTTCTGCCTGGTTTTCCTTTTTGGCAAATACCGGGTAGCCCCCGGGCAGAGGCAGCTGGAAGGTGGCCAAATGAGCAGCAGCTTGAAAACTGCCTAAGCCAGCATTCCTGTTCGAATTTGTGTTTATATTTGCATGGCAGATAAAACAACATGGAAGCGCTGGGCACATGGGATGCGCAATGATGAGGGAAAAACGAAAGTGAAACTTAAGATTTTTTAGATGCTGATTTTCATTATTAGAGAGAACAAACAAATGAAGATGTGGCAGATTATTGTGGGCATGAATTGCACTCGGGAGAGTGTTCTATGTGTTTATAGATTTATTTAATATATCAATAATAATATAATATATAATAATAATACTAATAATAATAATATAATATATTATAATAATATTTCAATATTCAATTTCAATGGCCCATCTGTGGCTTCGTTAAACTTATCCTCGTTTAACGAATATAATTCAAATGAGTTTAATTTACCCAAGTGTAAAATGTATCTAATTATAATATAATTAATATAATATAATATATACATATAATATAATATATAATATAATATATTAATATAATGGTTAATTTACCCAAGTAAAATGTATCTAATTATAATATAATAAATATAATATAATATATATAATATAATATATAATAAAATATATTAATATAATATAATTCATATGAGTTTACTTAAGTGTAATATGTATCTAATTATAATATAATTAATATAATATAATATATACATATAATATAATATATAATATAATATATTAATATAATATAATTCATATGAGTTTAATTTACCTAAGTGTAATATGTATCTATTTGTCTAATATTAACTATTTAATTAAAAGATATTATACAATATCAATCAATTATCAATATTAATTTATCAATTTATATCAATTTAAAAAAATATCAATTATATGCCCCATGCTATTACAGGATGGCATTTTCGTAGGATTAACCATGGGAATCTAAGGGATAATACTAGGCACTAAGAGAATATTTCAAACTAGTTTTCATTATTATTTCTCATTTGCTTTTACTTATCGCATAATTATTACAGCCTTTTAATCCTCTAAGTTTTAACCTTAATGAAGTTACCTATTCCGCTGCCATGACCTCTTCCACCTCTTTCTTATAAGAATAGTTCTCCCTCAAGCTCTTTCTGCAGCACCTTTCATTTATACCAGTTTAAGCCATCTCTCACTCATTAACAACTAACAATCACAATTAGAGCCATCAGAGCGGCTGAGACCCGCTTCCAGCGAAGTTATGCTGCCAACTTATACAATTAAGTACAGGGACGGGCAAGGGGCTGGGGTGCCCAGCATGGAAATAGAGACAGAGACAGAGACAGAGAAAATGAACTGTCAGTTAAGCTTCAGCTGCCGCTGCTCCAACAGAACTCAAAAATAAAACCGCATTAAACAATACCAAGGAGCTGGAGATCGAGGTCCGAGGTCTGCCGCAGAGCAGAGCAAGACAACAATCCAATTCAATTTCAATTAAAACCGAACTACGGAAACTATTTGCAGCCAAACCAACAAGTGGAGCCGCCACATTATTTGGTGTCCATCTATCCCCTGTATCCCCTGTATCCACTGTATAGCTGCACACCCAAATCGTTGCCGATATCTATCCCCTTGTATGCGAGCACGAGGAATCGTTTCGTATGCCGGGCAGCTTGAGTGACATGTCCTAATTCGTAAGCGTTGACTTTTACCGGCATTTCAATTAACCCAATTAATGGACGGGGACCTAATTAAATTTTGAATTCATGTTGCTACTGCACACACACAAACACAAACACACCCACACACACACACACACACACACACACACGGTGCAGAGCCCAAACAGTGAGAGAGACACCGATACAGATACATCAGTCAGCTGTTTCGCTGCTGGCCAGCTGTCGCTCTGCTCCGCTCTGCTCTGCTCTGTGTGTGCAAAGGAGATGGCGCGAAAGCTTTACAGCAGCAGCGTTGGGTTAATGGGGGTTGCTAAAGGCGAGTGGGGGGGGGGGTCTGTAACAAGTATGTACTAATGTCGGCGTCTGGCTAACTGAGACACGGCTATGAATGAGTGTCCCGAACGGAGCTTGAAACTGAAGCTCGATGACCTTGATTATACAACACACACACACAGGCACCCCCCCACGACCCCATGCGACCTCTCCACCCTCAGTGGCACTCCTTCAACCCAGCTGCGGAAGGCAGGCAGGCAGGAAGGAAGCAAGGAAAAGCAGCGTCAAATAAAAATGGCAAAAATAATGCCCCCAGAGACGAAGACAGAAAGAGAGTGAGAGAGAGTGAGTGGAGAGAGAGAGAGAGAGAGGCAAGGTAGCTGGTAACTGACATTACAACAAATCATCAGGCAACAAATGTTGGCAACTGGGTGCCAAGTCAACGAACTGCTAACCGCAACACAGACCTACACACACACCTACATAGAGGAGTGGGCGTTGCAGGCGTGGCATGTGTCATTAAAATTGCAACAGGGGCCTTGAAGGAGCAATAGCAGCAGAGAACCCTGTGGAGAGGAGAGGAGAAGGAGCAGGGAGTAGCTGAAATAGAGCCAGAAAACGAAGGACTCCAAGGAGGAGGTCACTGCGGAAAAGGTAGGAGAGACCCGAAAAACCAAAAGACAAAATCAAAAGATCAATAATTATTATGATGTTAGCCCTGGCAACACACACTGGTAGGGAAGGTGGGAGGGGGAACTGGAAACAGACACCAAAAACTAGACGTAGTAGAACCGCAAGAACCCAAGCAAGTCAAGACATGTACAGAGCAGAGACAGCCAGCCCCACAAAATAGGGAGAGGAGAGGAGAAGAGAGTAGAGCTGGATGCCGAAAAGTTCGACAAGCGCATTACACACGGCCCAACAATCATCGATGGGGTGGGAGGGTTTGAGGGTGCACGAAGCGAGCGCGGCATTTGCTTACAAGTGCAACCATTTTGTAGTACAAACTTCGAAAACCAAAAGCGAAAATTGGCAAAACAAAAGGCAAACGACAACCGAGACAAGAGAGTGGTGTGGGGGGACTGGGACTCCGTCATGGATGTGCCTTGTGGATTGTGGAATGTTGCAATGTTCAGTCGCCAGGCTACAACTCGGGCTCCGGTCTCGGGGCTCCCAGCTGGAGCGGAGCGGAGCGGTTCATGCGCACTGAACTCAACCGATTGGCCCGCTTCGACGCCATTTAGAAAATCCCATAGAGTGGGAAGCCCACAGTGAGAGAGAGAGAAAGAGAAAGAGAGAAGAGAACACCCCCAGCTCAGCCACAGTGGAGACAGAGACAGAGCGCACGGTGTGCGAGCAGTGCAGACAAACACCTGTTCCTGTTTCGAACTTCGAGACGCCCAAAAAGCAACAAAAAAAAACCTACACACACACACACACACAAATACGACGGCGCATCTGTTGTCCGAAAAATGAAAACACCAACAACAAGAGCAGCAGCAGCAGCAGCAGCAGAACGAGAACCGGTTACGCACACCGATGCAGCGACGCAGCCCAGCCGAGCGCTATATAGCGGTGCTCTTCTGGCATGTGGTGCCCAAATGCAAATACATTTTCGGGGTGGACAGACTGCTGCTGCTGCTGCTGCTGCTGCGTCGTTGTCGTTCCGGTGCGGTGGTGCGGTGTCGTCTCGTGCTGAATGGAACGACCGGTTTAGTCGTTCAGCATTCTCAGCACCGTTAGCATCGTACGCACGAAGCGCGTCTGTGTGTTGTGTGTGGCCACGTCTGTTGATCGTCGTCGCGTCATCATCGTCTCGTCGTTCGAAACTTTACTCGTCGTCGGTGTCCGGAACACAGGCGAATCGCATCGCATCGCATCTCGCATCCGCATCCCATCGAATCATTCGCCCCGGGCCACAATCAAAACATCAGCGTGTCGGGCTCCTCGGTTTGCCGTCGCCGCCGCCTCATTTTTGGATACGAAACTCTCATTTTGCACCTGGTGGCCCTGGCCTGGCCGTGGCCTGTGCCTCTCCCCGTGTTCTGTTACCTGTTCGCGTGTGTGCCGCCCCGGAATATTCAACCAAAAAGAAGCAGCCGCAGCAGCAGCAGTAGCAGTGTTTGTGCCAAATCTCTAACTAAACTGAAACTGAATACAAGTAGTACAAGTGCCTTAAACGAATAGAAATAGCAATAGAAATAGAAATTCAGATTCATTCAATCAGATCTCAAAGAAAACAAACAATCTTTGCTCAATGCCCGAGACAAGGCAAAGGCAACGCAAATTTCAATATTTTTGAGTTATTTTCCCCCCCACCAAAAACCCCACTCCCCCACCACCCCGTCTTGAGTGTGTGTTTGCCGGGGTTTTGTAAGCCAAATATATGGTAATGGCAGAGATTGGTGGCCATTTGGCTCACCAGCTACCATTGCACAATCACAATCACAATCAAACTGGATTACAGCCGTCGCTGGTGATGAACCATCACCTGGATTTGGATTGTCATGGACATGATGTGATAAGTAAGTAAAAACACAAACATCCCCAAAAAGAAAAACCAATTGAAATTAATATCTAGGTAGATTTTAGGGGCATCCTTCAAAAATGGGTAAATTTGGGTAGCCTAATGCTAAGAGAAATCCAAGAAGTGTTTCCATCAGTTGGGTTTTTCGTATTTCACATTTTTCTGCTCGATGTTTCCAATACTTTGTTAGCTTATGTACAGCCTTTAGACACGTTTTTATATTTCAAATGTATTTATTTACATCTCAAACTGCTCTTTCCAATCGATACTTTTATATATTTTTGACTTTGCATCCTTTGGTATCCACCACTGCAGCTTTTTCATCAGCTTTTTAAGCATAGCTTAGCTAGTTCATCCCATAATTTGGCTATCAAAATTCAACCCAATTACTGCACTCATTGCATAGAGCTCAGAGCCAAAGGTATTTTCTATATCATTTACCGCTAATAACGCTATTTAAACGAGTTAATGACTTATTTATAGCCCTTGTCGCAGTACCCCAACTAAAACATTGCCAAATTAAACTGTCATTAAAAAGTGAGCGTAGTCACTGAGCTGTAACTGAACTGTAGCCATCTCAATCCCATACACATGTTTCTGATGTGTATAATGAGAATCGTTTTGGACATTAAAAGCCAATCAAATGATAACAAATAAAAGGCGAAATCAAATGTTATATGTTCGATTTTGGTACAGCCTTCGCTTTGGCAATTATGTGCATTAAGCTTTGAAAATATCTAAACTAAAGATCAGGGTTTGTGGTGCTGCTTTCGGTTAAAAATGCAATGCATCGACCAAAATGTTGTAACGTTTTAAAGACTGAGGCGCTGAGCTCTTGAACTTTTGTTCAAGTTTACCGCTGTGTAATGAAGGAAGACATTGAAAAAGGTTAAACTTGTGCTGAACTCTTTCCTACCTTGAGATTATAAACGAGGAGAAGACCTCAGGGCTTGACATACGCGATCTTGGATGAATATTTTATATAGATATTAAAAGATAAAGAAAATTTAATGCAAGATACGTGCCCATAAAATAATTTAACTTATGTTCGGAATGCGCATTCCCTTTCCGTTGTGTCAAAGTTTGCAATAATTTTGAGGCGTTCTCGCCATTAACTCAAATTAATAGATATTTTAATACATTCTTTGACCTTTTGTTGTGGCGAGTTCTATGTTTGAAAATAACATCTGTGCCAGTGATGAACCGATGACAGATCAGACTTATCTTTGCCAGTTTTGTAATGGGCTTAGGACTTAATGCGACTCGGAGTCGGAGTCGACGCGGCAGGCCGATGGCAATAACTTTTAAATGATAGCTGTATTTTATTTTAAGTACAATTTACATATAATATAGAAGCCAATTAACAGTTGAATGACATTTTAATGTTGAGCAATTAAAAGCGGTCAAGCAATTGCACGCCAAACAAAAACAAAAAACAAAAAAAACACCGAATCCAACAGCAGCGAAAATCCCAAAAATTATCAAAAATGTATCCCATGCGATTTAGTGTCGAGCAAAATTTTTAACTAGACAGAAGTTTTTGTTAACCGAAAATGCATTTTATAAATTCATAAACCAAAAGTGTCATTAAAAAATGTGTGTCGTCTGTGTGTGTATGTGTGTGTGTGTGTGTGTGTGTGGGAGAGTGCCAGAGGAATATATTTTATTTTATTTTATTTCAATTTTATTTCGTATGCTAACAAATGTGACAAATGTTACGCCTGACAGTTGTCTAACCGAACAAAAGACCGCAACAAAAAACCAACAAAAAATGACAACAACAACAACAACAGCAACACCAAAAAAAAAAAGGAATAGAAAACATGAAAAATCATAATCATAAGCACGAAAAACACAATTGTGCGAGAGAGTTATTTAATTATGAATGAGCCAGGACAGCGACACACACACACACATACACTCTAAAAGATACACACATAGATACATTTGTGCATCTCACTGAGGACCATTTTAAATTGCATTGAAATTTTTTTAATTGTAATTTAAATTCGAATTAGTTGTCCGGCCATGAAGCCCTGCTAAATATTTGATGAATGAACGAACGAACATTTTAATTTGAAAACTTTTTGCGCAAAAGTTTTCCGCCTTTCCACCTCGCTTCTTCCTCTCTGTCGCTGACTGACAAAACTTAAAGTTTTAGTTTTTAGTGAAAACAATTTTTGTGTTATTTTTTTTTGCGTAGCCCATCCTCCGTGCCGTTCCACTCTCTTTTTGTTGCTGTTGGTTCAGTCAGAGTCCAAGCTGGGGGTTTATTTTGTTTTTGTTTATTTGTTTGTTTGATTTTTTGAGCGCTGTAAACATTTTAATGAGTTTTTCATGTCGCAGGCCCATGGGCAGCAGCCAACTCCCTCCCCCTCGGCCACGGCCACAGTCAACATGTCGCCGCGCCGCGCCGCTAACTTCTCAAGTAGTCGTTAAATTAATTAAATATAGTAGAAACAAAAAGGAAAAATTTACAAAATGGTTGAAGTGTAGGTTAGGGATGGGTATCGTCAAGCAAATATCGATATTGACCTAAATCAAAATATCACATAGAATATCATATCGAAGATATGATATCGTAATGAATATCGCCATATCGCCTTGAATATCGATAAAATCGATATTATCGAGCTATATATTTTTATAGTTTTAATAGTATTTATTTACAATGTTTTTATAAGATATATATATATACTTATATATAAAATATAAGTATTAGACTGAGGTCGAAAGTTAAATCCAAAAACAAATTTATTACAACAAAATCAAAAATATAATATTCTTCAAGAAAAATAACTAAAATATAAGATGAGATCCTTTTTTGTCTTTTTTACCTATGTATATGCTAACACGTAAAAAGTTAACTCAAATGTTAATTTGTCCAATCCTTCCGTTCCAAACTTTCAATTGTGACAATTTTTCTGGCATTAGACGATTTCAAAGTGTCCGACCAGCAGCAGAAAATAGTCGTTCGCATGGAACTGACGTAGCTACAATGGGTAATACATCAAGTGCAATTTTGTAGAGAGCAGGATATGTATCCTTGTTTGAAGCCCATACTTGTAGGGGATTCGATTTTGGATCTGCCAATGACGACGTTAACTAGTGAGACATTTCATCCCTTTCGTGCATTACTGGAGTTTGCTGCTTATGGAGCTCAGTCACCATTTGCCAAAACGAAGTTTGATTGTCGTCAACGTCCTTGTTTTCTCTTTGTTTGAGACGAGAAAATATGTCGATATATCGTAAGAAATATCGATGTTTTCGGCTAATATCGCTTTGAATATCATATCGTTTTGAACTTAAATATCGCATTTAAGTATCGATATAATATCGATATTGCCATATCGATACCCATCCCTAGTGTAGGTACTTCCACTTCCACTTTGCTTGCACAAGATATGGACAAATGCTACGCTGCAAAATACAAATACCAATAATAAAAAATAAAAAAACCAATGCATACTTCAGGGCGTTTCACTGACAGACTAGTTTCGATTTTATTCTCTTCGCTTCAGGGCCATAAAACTGTACAACTCTTATGTGGAAGGAAGACCCATAAAAAAATGACAATTATTTGCGGCCATAAAAACCAAAACGATTTTTATATTTATTTTTATGGTCTAGCAATTAGCTGCAAAAATTTGAATAAAAAAAATCTAAAGACACTTCTTTCCATGTACGCAAGTATCTAACAAATTGTTCTGCCCTAATCGCATTCATATTAATTTCATTTAAATCGTTCAGCTACTAAAATTAATCGTATGCTAATTAACATTTTTTTTTTTTTTGGCTACGTCAAAAGTTTTTCGAAAGTTAATTGTGAAAAATTGATTGAGCAAATGCTTAGCTTGGCAAAAGTCACAAGCAAAGTTGATATAATTTTTGAAACAATTTGTCAACTGTCAAACAGCGAAATGCTGTGCTGCCATGCCATATAAGGTTAAGTTGTTCGACATTGTCCAAAGAGAATGGTACGGTGTTCAGACGTCGCAACGCGACGCGACTCGAAGCGGAGAGTGATAGTAGTCCCAGACATAGATCAACAACAGATCTTGCAACTGGTGGGATCCAATGTTTATTTATAGTTTCGCTGAAACGTGAGTGAAAGGCGCAGGGCTAAGCATACGCTTACGAGTGCCATAAAATTAATTATATGACCATTCTAAACGAGCCTCGAATCGATTTTTGTTTTAAGTTTACAATTTTGTTATGCATTGATTTTGTGTTTTGAATATTTTATTGGTCAGAGCTGGACACTAACGAGCGTCTCCCTAGATTACATAAAACTGCCTCTTTAATTTATTTTCCATAGTCTGACTTTAATTTTGGTTACTTTTAAATTGCGCGAAAACTATTCAAAAATTTCTGCATTGATGACATCACAGAAAGGGCCACACCCATTAGTCAGTCGTGCCATAGCCAGACAGACACGACGTTATCTATATTTTATGAGAGTTCCTATCCGAAATTTCTGGTCTTCTTTTTTGTGTTGCCTTCCCGTTTCCGGTCAGTTTTTTATATATTGGAATCCCTGCTGCTGCTGCTGCCTTAGGGGTGTGATAAAGTTATTTAGGCGCAATCCATAAATTCCCGTACCAAAACAGAGAGACCCAAACGTAAATCCCAAAAGCTTATCTGATTTTGCACTTCGGGTCCAGGCCCTGCTGGCACTAGATCAATATGTTTTGGACAGAGTTGTCCCCGTACCTGGGACCCAACACACACAAGACAGCTGTGCGCCTGCGCTGTGTATCGCCGTCACCGTCACCGTCGCCTCCTCCAACTCCAGCTTCAGCCAGGCATTTGAAATGCATTTGCACGAGTATCTGTGATTTAAATCTGTGTGTGTGTGTGTGTGTGTGTGTGTGACAATAAAAACAGACGGGCGGAACCCGAGAACCGAGAGAAACCCACAGTTGGTCTAGAAGACAGTTGGCAGATATCAAAACATCAAGTCCCTAAAAACTGCTCCGCTCCCCAGGTAAATTTCTG